GGCAGGGGCGGGGGTGGTGCTTAGTTGAAGTCGAGTGCGGGGGCGGGAGTCGGTGCACTCGGCGCAACGCCGCCGGCTATCTGCACTCGGGCAGCTGTGGGGGCGGTGGCGGGGGCGGCGACACCCGAGAAAGCGGCTAAATCGGCGCTGCGCCCTGACTTATGAACGACTGCGACAGGGCGACTGGGCCCCTGCACGCTATCCGCCCGCCGCGCCACACTCCTGGTGGGCGGTGTAAAAGGCGTTATTAATTTCCAAGTGGCGGCTTACAAAGGTGTTTGGATGTATTAGTACTACTTACTATAATTCGTGTTGTGGGATACACATTAATGAAATTAATAAACAGTGTCACTACTGTGGCAACCCCTTTACTAAATTAGGAACTTTTCAAGCTAAAATCGTATACAGTCTATTTAAAATCATAATGTATGTTAAATAGGTCGGAGTGAATTTAAAAAAATAAACTTCTCAATCGCTATTTTTATTTTTGGCGTGTTGCCGACATCAAGTATATGGTTTCTGATTAACATTCAAAATTAGCAAAAATTTTCAAGAATGTAATCATATTTTGTCATCTTATGAAATATGCAACCCTAACTTACACAACAATTGAAACATTCTTTGCAAATGCTATTAATTCTCTGTAAATGACATTTCTATTTCATGCACATGAAACATTTAACGAACTTTTCAATATTCCATTACTGACGTGGAGATTAATTTCATGGAATGGAAATAGAGTAGTACATCATTTCCGCATTTGCATTTCCGCAATCACATACGGAATTCATCGCCGTTTTTTCTTACATTCAAATACAGAGAGTATAGTCACATCGGATTGTTCCTTAGATACACTTATTAAATTAAGTACCCTGCAATGCACGCCCCACAATGCAGTTTCGCGTAGTAGAAATCTGCAAACGGGGCCGGCGGCGGCGGACGACGACACGGGAAGTGGGCGGTCGGGGACGACGCGGGGCGACGAAGGCGACGGGGTCGCGGGCGGTCGCGGGCGGTCGCCGCCGGCGGGATGCCGTGCCCGTTATCAGGCGCCGCCTCTCGCGTGCGCCCTGCCTCCAGTCGCGCCGCGCCCCCTTCCCGCCAGCCGCGCCTCACCTCGCGCCGACCGCTCTGCACTGCCCAGGGGCCATCCGCGGTCCGGCCTCAGCTCTGTTTCCTGTCTGCCCTCCTCTGCCCTGAATTTTTGCCGCCTCTCCCTAACTTACGTTGCCTCTGCCCCGCCTCTCCCACGATCTGACCTGACTATTCCCCGCCCAGCCTCTCTACGGGTCTCTCTCCGCGGCCTCGCCTCTCCCAGCTTCTGTTCCACGTCTCCCCGCCCCGCCACTCCACACCTCTCCTAGCCAATCCCCGCTTCGTCCCGCCTCTTCCAGCTTATGTCCCGCCTCTTCTCTCCACGTCTCTCCCAGCCGCTTCACGTCTCTCCAGACTTCTCCAAACCTCTCTCCGCATCGGCCACCTTCTGTCCCACCTCTCCCACACACTGCCTCTCTACATCTCACCTAGCCACTCCCCGGTTCGTCCCGTCTCTTCCAGCTTATGTCCCCCTCTTCTCTCCACGTCTCTCCCAGCCGCTTCACGCCTCTCTCCGCCTTTCCCCACCTTCTG